ATGAAACAGCTGAAAAGCTTCCCAGAATTTGAATGGCGGTGACATTGGATTATATCTGTGTTCTTTACTGCATCAACAGATATGGTTCTTAAAGAAAGAACAAAATAATTTAAGGAGCCATTTTACTACAGCAAAAAAATCTTTCTTGTTTTGAATAACTTGGTTTTCTTACGGCCATTTTCCTGTTGTATCAAAGCAGGGACAAGAGAATTTGCACAAGGTTTGTACCAAATAAAATAGGTTTTATTTTTCAGTGAGCTGTTTATCAAGCAATAACGTTTACGAACAATAATTATATTAATTTTTTTTTTTTTACCTCAAAGCAAGCTGCAGGATTGAGCTTAGCACTCAGTTGTATATGCAGCCTTAATTTAATGTGAAGGGTTATGAAGTTTCAAAGTAGCAGAGTCATTATCAAAGAAATTAAAATTACTGTGTTCATACTTAATTTATTGAAATGCACATTGTAGCACGAAATTGTAATGTAGAAAACACTGGACTTTTAATCTGATCGCCTGCTCGTGCCTGTATCTCTACTAAAGATAATTCTTACTGAATCGGAGAATAAGAACAAACCAAATTAAGATTCGAATGTAAAAATCAGCATGTGCCTGGTACGTTAACAAAGACTGTCTAATATGGAGCTGTTGTTTCAGAGCACTGGGAGGACTTATCCAAGAAGAACGTAAATAAACATATTTTAGGATTAACTGATCATGTTATTTAGGCGTTTTGTTGTAAATTCACAGTTCATATCCTTCCTTTTGTTTTCATATTTCATGTAAGTAAACACTACAGTTTAAACTTAAATCACATTGCCTTAATCTCAATTTTTCTTTTTCAACCTGAGAACTTTTATGTTGTGTCTACAAATCAAATCCCTTCACATACAGTTGTGTGTTACTGGATACACTACTAAAAATGTCTTTTTTTTTTAACAGGGTATTTATGTCCTTCAAGACAATAAATTTCGTCTCCTGACACAAATGTCTGCAGGAAAGCAGTATTTAGAACATGCACCAAAGGTACACTTCAGTTTTACCCTTGGGATCAACCACTGTGATTTGAATTACCTTGTTCTATTAATAGTATCTTTAAGTTTTGTAATTGTATGGATACAGACTCTCCAAAAGAGCAGCCAAAATCTGGTCTCTAAAACCTGTTTTGTAGAAATGCACCTTGTTTCAGATCAGTGGATTTGATTTATGGTTCAAGAAAAATGGTGGTGAAACGTGCAGTTGTCATGTTTGGGTTACTTGATGGTAGGAGCTGGTCTGGCACTGTCTGCCACTATCAAACAAATCTTTCCTTTTTTTTTTTGAAAACATGTGCTCTCAGGAGCTTTTTTAAAATTTCCAGAACATAGGTGGAAGATTATCTTTGTTAGCTTGAACAAGCTTCGGAGATGATATGAACATTCAGAAAGATATTCCACCAATTAAAAATAGTTTCTAGTATAGTTGCCGAGTCAGAGTTTAGGTAAGTACAGCCAGTCAAAATTAAAAGCACTTTGGTTCAGGTGGGTGTAAGAAACGAGGCATTCAGTTCCATTTTATGATTTCTTAATTCTGGATCTTCTCAGTCATCACAGACTACTATCCTTGGGCTCCTTTTTGGTGTTTGGTTCGATGTTTCTTCTGTTTTGCAGCATATATTCTGAATACCTGCAGGCATCTTTAGCCCTTGTATTCTTAGATGCAGCCTATCCAGGAATGCTGTCTTGGACTGTTTCTCCTTCATTGGCTTTAATACTGGTCGCTAAGTCTTGGGAATAGTTGTTTTAAGGATACTAAGTTCCTACAGGTTTAATGGAAATAAGTAGTAACAAGTGACTCGAGATAGCACCTCTAACAAGAGAAATCTGTATTGCGAGCTCCACTGTACTAGATATTGAAATTCCCATGTATTAGGGACATGACAAGGTCTCTCAGTCACAGTAACAAAACCCCCATAATTTTATGTGTCCAAGTGTTAAGTCTTGCTCTTGAGTACTTAGTTTCAGTCTCTAGCAACAAGCTTCACCCTTGACTCTTACTTAAAGTGCATCTTTATATTTAGTATTTAGCATTTACCTGTGGACTAATCAGAGGAGGCCTATCGAATTTGGGAATAAAGAGTATTGTAACAGCTGAAGTTTCATCAATGCCTGCATGTAAGTAATTCTCAGAGTATTCAATTATTAGCTTACTTGGTAACTTTAGTGACTTCATCACTGTGTAAGCATTTATCAAGGTGGGATTAGTTTGAAGCTGCTGGGCCATAGAACTCAGTATGCACTTCAGGATATGGCTTGTCTCGAAATGCTTTAGTATTCAGAGAGTACTGACAGGGTGAACCTCTGTGCTATTGAGTGGAAAGTAAAATTAAAAAGTTGTATTTACGTTTGAAAGCATCAAATGCATAAAGATGTTTGTCCAGAAGGTTATTTGAACAAATGAAGATAAAAACACCTCAATAACTGCTCTTTCTTTACAGAAGCCATTAAGAAAGTTAGTAAGTGAAGTCTGTTGTAACTACCCAAGCTACTGAAGATGGGTTAAAAAACTTGCACAGGCATTGCACAGATTTTAAATTTAGCTGACAAAACTGTTACGATGTGGGGTCAACTTAAAGGAAAAAAAAAGCAAAAAAAAAAAAAAGCAGTTCAGTTGGAGTTAAATTTCAGTGCTAAATGTAAATAAGGGCTAGATTGTTCACAGTTAAACCAATGATTACTTGGAAAAATAACCCTAATGGTGCTGCTTTGACCTTGACTTTGCCTTTTCTTTGCAGGTAAATTTCAGGTGATGATACAGAAGATGTAGAGCACGTTCAAATTGGGTATCTACTTTAAAAATCCTTTGTGTGTGGACTCGGTATCTTGGTTCAGCTTTGTGTGTAGCTTGTAAATTATCGCAATGTGCAGCACGATTCCAAAATGTATAATAAATATTCATCAAAATAACTTAACACTATCCTTGTGTCTTGGTATGAAATTTATTCTATGCCAAGGTGTTAATGTCTATAAAGCTGCCTGCTCAAAAGTTTTCAACAAAAGATTTCAACTACCAAAACAGCACATGTAGAAGACCAGAGGCCTGTTTTCAGAAGAGAGTAAAAACCTGAGCAAGACTAAATTGGAGTAGGGAACTAATGTGTTTTCTGTCACCTAACATGATGCCAAAATGCTGCCTTGCCTTATTCACTCTGAACTGTGAGGCAGCAATTGCTTTTGTATTATTCTGAGGAAGCCGTTATCACATGAACCAAGTGTCTTCATTAAAGGTGTTACACTGGAGGTTTAGTTCCTTTGTAGGAATGATATGGGGCAGTAGAAAAAACCCCTTGTTTTTACATAGTTAAATAGTATTTGCTACCTCCCTAAAATTAGCAGCTGGTTTTGTTTACGTCAGCTGAGGAAATTTGTTTCAGCGTGTTGTGCCTAAGTTCACTATTAACATAGTTGGTTTTGATTGCTAGCTGCAACTCACTTCTGTAATGAGGGTATGCAGGAAGATGATTAGCCCTGCAAGAAGCTATAAAGGCATCACCAAGACTTGTGAGGACAGTGGGTTTTGGTAGATACTACTTGTTACCAGAGTTGCATAACAATACATACCTTGCTGTAGGTAAGCATGAAAACATCTTGTTAAAACTTTTAATGAATTTTGCTGTCAGACTTTTCTTTTGGGAGGTTCAGGCCTTACACTTTCAAATGAATCACAGTAGAAGCTTATGGTGTTTATTCAGAAGTGTGAGAATGAGTAGTGATAGTGACTTAATGCAGGCTAACTAGAAAAGCTGACGTGTTTTAAGTAGCACCTTTGATTGCTGTAACTACCTTCTGTGTTGGGAGAAGTGTATGCTGTCCAGCTGCATGGTGGGCAAGAACAGTAAAAGTTGTTCTTCTCCAAGGTCCGAAGTTTGTAATGGAGCAAGCTTCTTCTAGACAGCTGTTACAAGCTGGCAAGCTATGAATTATAAATACGATAATTGGGTTTATTATACTTGAGCTCAAGAAGTGACCAAATTCTGATGTTTTCAGGCATTGTGAATGCTCGTTGTAGCTGAGTAACTTGAGTTACAGGAAACATCTGGAGCAGAACTTGAACTAGCAGCATGCTGTCCTGCTCTTTATAGAACTGGCAAAGAAGAAAGTAACTATAGTAGTGTGGTACTTGGTGGGGATCTGCTGTTCAACTGAAAACACTGGAGTCTTATCTTGGGAGGTTATAGGAAGGCCATGGTTGTCCACCTTAGTAACTCAGATTTCTTTGAAATTATAGGGTTCCAGCATTAGCTAACTAGTTAGGTAATTGATGCTGAGTGCATTTCACGGGTTCTCCAGTTGCCAACTCATTCTGCTTTTAACGTGCTGAAAATGTTAGTAAAGAGACTAGAAATAACTTGCACTGTGTATCTCATGGATGGATATTTTGATTTCATCACATTTAAGGTATCTGCAGTGTGGTAGACACTCAGTATCAACATACAGAACCTTCTGTTACTTGCATCTCCAGAATTAAAACTCTAGTAGTTATTGTAATTCACTTTGATTTTTCACTGGATAGTTAAGACTACGGTTCCAGATGCAAAAGTCCCAATCACTCAAAGACACACTAAAAGTTTATCAATAACTGGTTGTGCTTTGTGATTTTTTTTTTAATAGTGAGGGACTTAAATTCTATGATTTATAGAAAGCAGATGTCAGTTAATACTGTATCAATTTGCTGCTATCATCAGAATTTATAGTGTGGATTTTTAATTGTTGAAGATAATTGGAACCAGAGGGAGTCATGTACGTACCAAGTGGATGCTATTACTCTTGGCAAAGCACTCCATGTTAAATATATAAATAGGTGAGCTAATGTATTTGTCAAAATACCATACAGGAAATAAATTTGTTCATTTAATAAATACTTCTATTAAAAGCACTGAATACAGCTGTGTAGTTTTCATTGGTTTCTGCAACTTTAACTAAAAACCAGTAAACATTACTGCTTCCCGAGTAGTAATACATTTTACTAAAATTGTTTCAGTAACTTTCTGGCTGTAGTTGAATTGTTTATCAATGCTTAAGCTCAGGAACCAAAGCTTGAAAAAAACCTCTTCAGTCCTAGCTGTGTAGATTTCTATAGTGAGACTGCTGTTAAATACTGTGAAGAATGAGAAAAGCCACAGTGTTTAAGAACACTCTTTAAAAGACTTGTTTTATTAAAAAACCCTCAATAGGTGTGTGTTAGATAAAGAACAGTAATTTGTAACGTAACCTTTTCTTCACCTGATAGCAGTGTCCGTAGGATTACTCAGATGGTAGAAATTTCTAACCAAGAATGTAGAGACAGTAGCTTGAGAGATGCCAGAACTTCATCAGTCATTTGATGATGATGATACAGGAGACATTGACAATAATCCTAAAGCTCAGCTTACATTATCCATAGCTGTCCCCAATGCATTATCTTGAGGGTATTCTGAAAGGGCTGTAAGTACTTCAGGTCTGAACAGTGTTGTGTCTTGCTGTTAACTCCGATAATGCTGTTTGTAATATGGCAACACAAAGTCCTTGATATTCTCAGAACAGTCTAGGAAGGCTCATCAGCCAAGTCACGTTGATCAAAGTACCTAGTGGAGAAAGTGGAATGCGGTAAGAAACTTCTAATTCAGCACAGTCCTTACTTTGTTCGGACCAAAGCCCTTGCTTCCTAGCTCTTCCTTTAGTATTCCTATCATATTTATAGCTTTGCAGTTCAGGGGGCTCATCTGAGGAAACCAATAAGCTTATTTTACTCTTAGGTTTATCTTGAGTCCTCCTAGCTAAGTATGTTTAGTACATATGCCCAGGGTACTTTAATTGACTTCCACTTTAAAAGAATCTAGGTTAGGACAAGAGTAAGTGCACATTTATTCTGGACATACTTTATTGTTATAGGTAATGTAAACTGCATTACCTGCTAACTAAGCAGATTAGCAAGTTCAGAGCCGATATCTGTTCTTCATTCCTGTTCTCCTGAAAGAGAAATAAACATTAGAACAGTTCTCTTGTTTTCTGTGTCAAATAGAAAAGCTGTTACGTGCTGTGTTACGTGCTTGGAGTTTTCCTTTCATTCTTCAGCAAAATTAGGACATGAAAAATTATTTACCAAGACTTCAAGAACTGAAAAACCATCCTCCTAATAATTTGCCAAGTTCAGCAAGACCTCTGCACAATGCTAGGTTAAATCTCACCTCTAGTACTCTGACTTCTGAGCATCGTCTTGCCAGCTGTCGAATAAGGGAGTGAGCTTCAGGTAGCAAAGGTTTCTCAAGGCATGCCAACAGTGCATAGAGCCATCTACCCTGCATGGATTCAAATAAAGTTTTAATTACGAACATTTCCTTGAAGTTTCGTGTAGTTACTGCTATATGGAGCAGGCCTGAAGCCTAGGTCTCAAAACAAAATTGCATTTGAGTGCCACTGCCAGAATTGAAAAGTTTGAAAGCCAAATCAGACACTACACAGTAGAATTTTTTGCCTCTAGGTAAGCTTCGTGAGAACAGTGCTCCTGGATTTCCTGATAATTTTTTTGAATACTGGCCAAGGTTTAAGTTAATACAGTTTACACCATTAAAGCCTGAGGGAAGGATTATTTTAATAATAGCTAAAAATTATCACTTAGCTGTTAATTTTGAACTTCACAAACTGTGGAGAAACATTCCTGAAGAGCGAATGTATCAAGTCAGGTCTTTGTGGAATGAATATTGTTAAATCAGGTTTAAGATGTGCATCACAGTGAAAACGCATCCTTTGCATTTTACTTCACTGAATTCTACTGCATTCTTACAAACATAACTCCTGCTACCAGTCTTAACTTCCTGATTTAATTCCAGTGTCTAGCAGCTTTAATTGCAGGAGTAAACTAAAAGTCAGTGCACACATCCTCTGCAGAATTTTGGTTAATAAGAAAACAGTCCTACAGAAAAGGACAGAATGTGAAAGGCCTTTAAGTGACTCAAAAAATAGTGAAACTGTGTTTAGTATTATGGAAATAATTTTTCGTTACTCTTTTGCTTCGTGGTACTGAATGAGATGAGATCCATCTACCAAGGTCTTCTGTCAGTCTGGTTGTGGCCAAATGTACCCTGTCAGTCAGGATTTATTAGGTTGGATTTGTCACTGCACTAATGCAGCTAAGCTTTCTGGTCAGTGCTGCATGTGGAAAGACTAAACGTGACTTCTGCCAGCACGCTGCCATGTACCTTCAAACTAAAATGAAGGTGTCACTACATAGAGCGTGCATCACCCTGACGGCGTGAACTGGTCAGAACCAAAGCTGCTGTAGTCTGACCCTCTTCTCTCCCCAGTGCTGATGCTCATCTAATTTTGCAGATTAAGCTACTGTGGGGAGCAATAAAAAGAGGCAGGGGTTTTGGCAGTCCATGATAGATCCATGCCTGTTATGTTTTGTAATTAGCTTTCCAAAAAGTTCTGTGAATACTTATTTTACTATTTAATCAAGTAAGTTTTGAAAGTAACTGAAAGATCCATGCATCTAGAGAACTCTTTAGAGATGAAAATAATTTCACAGAAAGCTATGAACAGTTTGTCCCTTGTTTAATGCATTCATGTGCAAGTAGTTAGAATAAATTAAAAATTACCAGTTCTGGAGTAAATGTTTTCTCTCCAAACCAGCTTATCAGGTATTCTAAGACACTGGTTACTGTTGCCTTCAAAAGAGGAACAGAAAGAGACAATACAATGGCTGCAACATTTTCTTTTTGCTGTCCATCTACCCAAAGGATATTATAAAAAAGCAATGTGATTGTTTTAAAAATACACATTATGTATTTCTACTCCACTGTGATTCTATATGGTATTTAATCCAGATTGAGGTTAATTGTAAGTGAAAATTAAGCATTAAAGCATATAGTATAACTTTTTATAAAAGGAAGTCATTCTCTGTGTTAACAAAAAGTTATGGATAAGTTGCTACAGTTTAGGAAAGAGGCATTACACCAGCTGGTGGTTTCTGTATAGAGGTGACTAGCAGGAAACACAGCAGTAAAGGAAAGTAAGTGTGATTCTACTGGCCTTGAAATGTTTCAAGTATTCACAATCAAGTTGAAGAACTGTACTTAGAACACTCAAAGAGAAATCTTAAAATACTGTCAAGCACCTAATGGGGCACTCAGTGAAAATCCACTCATTACAATGTTCAGTAAAGAAAGCACAAGGACAAAATACTAGAACTAGTGATATATGTTTACTAGTACAGTTGCGTGTAGCTGAAGGTGAGATAATCATTGTGTTTTAAGTGCACAATGAATAGCAGTTCAAATAAACAATTGCCTACTCTAGCACAGAAAAATAGGGAAGACTTCTGCAACAGATACAATCTGAGAATGATTTATGCAATGTCACTATGCAATTTTAAGAGGTAGGGTTACCTGGTTCATCCTGCTCACAATACTTAGCAAAGGTGGAAAGCCCACCTGAAATAAATAAAAAACCACAAACACAAGTCGAAAAGTGCAGACACATTACCATAAACATTTTTGTTCTAACTGAGAACATACTAACATTTTATTGTGATGCTTAGACATTTGTAGTGATTTGAAACTTGTTCTGAGCTTTGAAATCAATTAAAAAAAGTCTTCAAGCAAGTTAAAGATACGGTTCAGCCAAATTTGGTATCAAAGAACCTTGCTTTTACTGTTATTTATTAAAGTTTGTTGGTTTTTTTCCAAAATGATGCCAGGAAGGGTATGTTTGTAGGATAACATGTCTGAGGCAAGGAACCACGGATCACCATTCAACGCAACACGAAAGCAGACTATGCAGAAAGCTTTCCAGTCAGTTCAGGGAACAACAAAGCAGTGTTCTTCAGTTGATAACAAATGAGGACACTCCTGAAGTCTTTGACTGAAGGGACAGACTTGCTCTCTGCTTCACTCAGTTTCCACTTAGAAGGGAACAAAAATAGGACTTTCTGTGCTCACCAGAGAGCCTACTTTCTACTTAGCACAAGGAGTAATAAACAGTAGGACTGTTTCTGGCAGTTATTCTTCAAAACAGTAGCTGAAAATTGGATAGAAGTCCTATACTCACCTTTATGTAATCAATTCCTAGATTTTCATTATCAGATGGTGCATCTATTTCTGAGTATACTCTTTCACCCAGGCAGAACTTCTTCCAGCCTTCTTCATCCTCTGATTTTGGCTGAAGTAAACACGAACAAATGGAAACTGTGAAATACTGCTATCTTGAAGCCACAAGATAGACCTGATAATATGCACAAGTTGTTGCATTAAACTGTTAATCGAGATTAAGCACTGATTTTATGACTGGAAAAAACACCACAGCACTGTTATGAATTCCACTTACCATAGTGACATTGCTGTCCAAATGTTGTGACTGCCAGTGATTTCTGTGCTTGTTCAAGCTCTGAGTAATAAAAACAAAGCCACATCACAGTTTAACTTTGCAATTATTTTATCCTAGGCATAATTGGTCTTAATTTTCTTAGTATTTATAAAAACTACATTTTATGATGTTCTGTAGATCAGTAGAGGCATAACTGGCCAAATATCTCCCATGCCTCTTCGTATAAAATGGACTAAGTTGCCCATGCTGGGTTTTTGGAAGTAATAATAACAGCTGAATGAGTTTTCAAGTATACTACATAAAGGCTTAAGTTGAGATAGTAAGTGTTAATAGTTTTCTAGACTTTTCTTGGTGTTAGCTGTAATAGAAGTTTTTCCTCCAATCCACTGATCGTAGCAGTAGTAATTACCACTAAGAATGGTGTAAGTAACAGTAGGTGATGCACAGTACTGGGGTCGTAAATGATCTTTCCTTATATCTTTATTATGCTTTGCATTTCACCCTCTCTGAACTGTGGCTAGATGGGGAGAGACTGCTCAATTCTCCATTTTTGTTCTGTTATTTAAGAGCGAGGTGCAAATACGGTAGGAAAGATTTAAATCTGTGGCAACACTCTGACTGTACAAATGTATTTTACCAAATCAGTATTTCTCCTCATAATGAGTGCCAGCACTGTCAAAGAGCATAGAACACACTGTCCATTTAGGATATGTGAATCCCCTGGTGGGTTAGAATCCACTTGTTCTTCTATTTAGGTTGGGTCTTACAGACCATTCCT